AACTATTTTCTTCATTTTCAATGTATAGTTATTGGATTTTTTACGTTGCTACTGGTGTAGGGTTACTTGTAATTCGATACAGAGACAGAGTGCGTAATTTAAACAATGAAAATGATCAAGAAATTAATCGCGAAGGAAATGAAGCAATTTTATTTAAAGTTCCAATAATTTTAACTGTAATTTTTATATTTTCTGGTTTATATATACTGATATTTTCCTTCGTTGTTAATGTTCAATGTCCAAATTCTTTACCACCTAATTCAGACGAATGTAGAAATTATTTAAGAGCACAAAGTGTTCATAAAATGTCGCCATTTTTTATTAGTTATGGATTTCTTTTTATTGCTTTAATATTTTGGTATCATTATTGGTGGAAAACTACTAAGCAATTAATGAAACAAATTGAAATATAAAATGGAGTAGTATCAAAAAGATAAGAATGAACTTTTATAAATGATCAGGTGATCCTTGATCTAGTAATATTTTATGTATATTAATTATAGTTAACTTTTTATTTTATTTTTTTTAAACCTGTAATAAAGAAAATAAAGGTATATATACAAAAACATCACTTTTCTATAAATGCATACACAAATTAAATTAATTATCTCTAAATATATATATGGATATGTGAATAATGTTACATTAACTTTTTTTAAAAAAATATTTGATTATTGAAAAACCTATCTAGATGTTTTGATTTTTTGAAATACATAAATTTTGTTAAATGATATTAAATCTTAATGAAAAGACTAATATAGATACATATGCTGTTATAAAGAAAAACATTTCTATTAAAATTATAGGCCTAAGATAAATATTAGAAATTTGTTTTAAAAACATTCTTTTAAATTCGCTAAAAGTATAATTATTCATACCAAAACGGATTATTTTCTCTATTATTATAATCATTAATGTCAAAATAGTATACCAAAAATACTGCGCCGCAGATTGTAAAACTGCACCTATAAATCGCACTAAATATATTAAAAAAAAATGAGCAGAAGTATTATCATTAAACTCTAATTTCTTTAAATTTAATATTAAACTTACAAAATGCACATAAGACTAAATAGATAACTAATACATTTTTTTGGATTAGGATAAGCGGTTTGTAAGTATTTGATTTCTCCTCCGCTTTTGTATTTGACGCCAAGTTCAACATAAGTTAAGGACCTGCCATACTAACGAGTCCACCTAACAACCATAGTAATAATACAATTCCTGGAGATTTTACTGAATTCAAAATAATTTCTGGAGTGGTAACGATCCCTGACCCAATGATGCTGTTTCAATGCCATAGACAAGATTTATAATTCCTTCGGGATTATTCTGAGATTACTTTCGTCCACATTCATTTTGATTTTAATAAATTCAAGAAATTATGTATAAATGTAATTTTTTTTTGTATTGAAACATTCGAGGGGTTTTAAATAATTCCATTATCTTTATTTAGTAGTAAAATAAAACAAATTAGGAGAAGCTCGTCTGGCATGGGCAAGAATAAGAATTTTCCTCTTTATTTTATTCCACGTGGTTATCAATCAAACTTTAAACTTAATAGCTAATAATATTTATTATGGGACCTTGTAAATGATTGTATCTGCTTTGAGGTTCGGCTAGTCCTTATATTCGAGCAATTTTTTCAGTTATAAACAATCATCATTAAATTTTTCGGTTTAAATGAAATTTGATAGACCTAAGTAAACTTGTTTTATTACGAAACTATTTTCAGTTAAATAAAAATAATGAAAGTCGCATGATTTAAGCATAAATATATTAATGTTACCAAAAAAGGGAAAACCGGTACGGTACGGTTCGGCTGATCAGTACGATTTTGCAGATCAGTACGAATTTTCAAATTATAATCGTACCGTACTGATTCTATAATATTATTGGGACCAGTACGGTACGATCATATTTTGTACTGATCAGACGATTCGTACCGGTTTTCCTCCTCCCTCAAAAAAACCAACCTTAACGAGGTTTGGGATGAGCGGTCAACTAATCAAATCAAGACTACAGTAATAGAGATTTTTTAATTGTTGATCGGTTCTTTGAGCTGATATAGAAGGAAGGTTATTTCTCTTAAATATTTGAAATCTTTAAAATTAATAACTTGCACATTATAAATAATTGCATAATGCCATAAACAAACTTTAAGAAACATGTAACGGTAATAGATCATTTTTTGAAATAAATCCAAAGAAAAAAAATATTTTCTTAAATGCTGTTGCACAAAGTATTACTTTATTAATGTTTGAATTGGAATTAATTTTTAAAAAACTCACTATTACATTAAAGAGGCGATTGTTTGGGACGTTTTTGTACAATTTTATTAAAATGTGAAAATACATCGATTTAGTAAGAAGATTCTTTTAAAATTAATTTAATCAAAGCTCAATTACGAAAAAATCTTCAATAGTAAATTTTACTATAGGACTAGACATGGTTTTGTTAAAATATGTCAGACAGCACACCATAGATTTATGGTATCGATTTTAGAAACTTTACATTAAATTTAGTAGTTTAATATTAGCTTAGTCTGATTCTACAATAGGCATAGTATAAAAAATGATCGTCATACTACTTAACATTTTAGGAAATTCCATCACTGCATAATGAAAACTTTACTTACTAATTTGGGATAATAAAAGGTGCAATCTCATATAAATATAGAGTTTAATAAAAAAATTTTCTAAATTTTTGTGTTGGCTCATTTTTAAAATGACTCAATCTCGAACGAAAATTTTGGGCGCTGTTTTTGGTATCGGTATGAACATAAACAGCATCATTGGATCAGGGATCGTTATCACACCAGGAATTATATTGAATTCAGTAAAATCTCCAGGAATTGTATTATTACTATGGTTTATTGGTGGAATTATTAGTTTTTCGGGATCATTAGTATATGCTGAACTTGCCGTTATACATAAAATAAATGGAGGAGAATTGAAATATTTACAAGATGCTTATCCAAACCCGAAACTTTTAATGAGCTATCTTTTTAACTTTATGTACATTTTGTAAGTTAAATATTGATATTGAATTAATCAAGTCATTGGTTAATTTGTCAATAATCTGGTCATTATTTTATTTAGTGTGATTCAGCCGGGAATTACAAGTGCAGTTTTATATTCAGCCGCGAAATATTTTTGGTATATTATTAATGGACTTCAAAATGATATCAAGACAGATATTACGGATATTGATGGGTGGAATTTTCCATTTTCTCCATTTGGGTATGAATATAGTTTGTTTCTGAAGAATTTCAGTAGCAACTTATAGCTTAATTTAAATTTTAAAGATTTAATCAAACAAATATATATATTTTTTTAGTTCTGTAATATTCATAGCGATTGCAATTTTATTTATTATAACAGCATATCATATGATTAATAATAGACTGGCAAACGTTATAAACCAAACACTAGCAGTTATAAAATTAATCACATATTCAATTATCGCAATAGCTGGAATTTTCAAATTGATATTAGATTGGGAAGCAAGTCGTATTAATTGGCAAAAACCATTTAGTGGAAATATAGATTTTACAGCTTATACTTCCGCTGTTTTATTGGTAAATATGTAAATATTTTCAAATGCTTTAAATAAATTAAATTCAAAATATTGTTCATATTATATATAGATAATGTTTAGCTATGATGGATGGAACAATTTGAATTGTAAGTCGTTCAAAATTGAGTATCTTCTTTTTTTTTTGAATAATGAGTAAATGTTAAAATAAAGAATTCTTTGTAGATTCGCTGGATGAGTTTAGAAGTGTAGAAAACAAGGATCTTTTCAGTAATAGTATTAGTGTTGTCATTGTTACATTATTATGTATGCAAGTTAAGTTGGAATGATTTAATACTTCTGCTATGATTCTAATATCTTTCAATTATAGATCTTCTTATAAATATAGCATTTATCTCTGTTGTACCTGAAGCAGAGTTAATATTAAAAGACGGACGGGTGGATCAAACTATAGCAGTAAACTTTTTTAAGAAATTATTTGATCAAAATAAGATATTAGTAATAATATTTGCTTTTCTAATTGTACTTTCTTTGGTTGGTACTGCTGCATCAAATATATGGAGGTAGATGATTTTGTTTTTCAATTTATCCATATAACTTATCTTTGTAATTTAAGTAACATTTTTTTTTCTTTAATAAAAAAATGTATAGTGGATCAAGAGTTATTGTTGCAGCCGCAAAATCAGGATTTTTTCCAGCATATTTACATCGATTGAAAATTTGGCATAATTACTGTAACACACCAATTAATGCATTATTAGCGCAGTTTATTTGGTGTATGATATTTATATTGTGTATAGGGAGCAGTTTTACGATTACAAGTTTTGAATTATATTCTTCCTTTGCAATGTATAGTCATTGGATCTTTTATCTTGCCATTGGTATAGGTTTATTTGTAATTCGATTCAAAAGAAATAAGGATGGAAATGCAACACCCATAACATTTAAAGTTCCGTTTCTTATAGTAGGAATTTTTATATTAGCAGGATTATTTATACTTATATGTTCTTTTGCTGTCAATGTTCAATGTCCAATTTCTATATCATCTGATCCAGTTAAATGTAAACAAACCTTAAAAGTTGGTAGAATCTATAAAATGGTTCCAATGTTTATTAGTTATGGATTTCTTTTGATTGGTTTTGTGTTTTGGTATTTTTATTGGTGGGAGACTAATAAAAACGAAGCGGTAAAAGAGAAATCAACCGAAAAAAAAAAAGTAGATGATGTTGAATTGGAAATAGAAAGAGAAGCAGTAATGGAAGAAGCAATTTTACCTATTGAAAGAAATGTTGACAATTTAGATGATGATCCAGATGAAAGATCTGAAAATGCATCTGAAATTTTTGCTAATTTTTAATAAATGCCTTTTTTTATTTACTTCATGTTATCAAATAAATGTCCTTTTAAACGATCTATTGAATTAAGTAATCAAGTAAAAATGAAAGTATGAGCAAAAAATAAAGGTTGATTATATCCGGAGAATTCAATTCGGAGGTTCAAAAAAATTAAATCCAATCAAAGTTAGAGAATTATAATTTATTATAATGTGACATTGTATTTGCTTCAAACATGGAAGATATAATTATCAAAAATTTTAGTAAAGATTATTCATCAAATTTGGATTTACAAAAATTTTATCCAAATTTTTGCGGATGTAACATATTGGACGGAACAAATTTTTATCTTGAAATTTTTATTGATAATATGTCTATCTGAAATTATTCTTACTCTTTTGAACGAAACCTTTTTTTGATACCAATAAAAATGTATACTACTGTCGGTTTAATGAAGGAACCGGTCATAATAAATCCGGATTAAGTCCGGCTAATTAGGTCTATTTTTATTAAATATTTGGTTCTTATTTAATAAATAAGTTTTAAAAATCAATTGATTCCAAAATGCCAATTTAGGATCAAAAATATTTTATTTATGTAATTAAATTCGTGCTAAACGATAATACTTTAAATTTTCCTATTTCCTCTTATTCCGCCAAGTACGTTGAAATTAATATAACAAGCTAATAATTAACCTAATCATTAAAATAACACGATTAATGATTTCCAAAATACTCGTTAATACTTAGCTTTAAATGCTTTAAATCTACTTAATATTCTAAAACTTATCTCGAGTTACTCGAATCAGATATAACTAGTGCTCTAAATCCGGTCGATCGATCGAATTTGTAATTATCAATCAATTTTAATAAGAATTTCAGCTAAAATTTTTTTTTTTTTATTCTGAATAATAAAATTTTCGAATTAAAAATCTTATTAAGAGAAAAAAAAAAAAATACTCGTTTATACAATTTTCCAAGTTAATGCAAACGTTTATCTACCTCAAAACAAATATATACACATGCAAAATATTACAATAACAACTAAAGAAAAATCTTACAGTTATCAATTTAAATTTTCTATCTATTTTTTTTCTATCCAGTCTATTCAGTTCTGTCTATTATCAATATCTAATTTATTTAGAGAAACAAATTATCTAATTAAAAAGTTCGATAAATGAATGTATGGAATATATCGTATGATATTTAATTCTATCTTTTGTTTTTCTTTTGTCATACGTCTATTATAATCCAGTGATTTTGTGAATTAGTTATACAGTACGAAAATAAACTATTATGAAAAAATGATCGCGATCCAATATTGTTATATATTAATGTTCTTGAGCGCTCTATTTTATTATTTATTATGAATAATTCATGATTACAAGAGAAGAAGTGCAAGATTTTCAATAGACTGCACATTTAAATGAACAGCCCCAAAAAATCTGACAACTATTTAAGTTTCAAGAATGAACTTTGTATTTTAAAATTATAAATCCTTTACATCAAACTCTGCATTCCCAACAATTTTTTTGTATTCATAACATCATAATAATCATACTTACGCGTATATAAACCTCCCCTATAGTTACTTTGTTTGAGATAAAGACGAATAAAATTGTACGTGTAACGCTACTTTTAAACAACCAAAACATATAAACGAAGACAATGCAAAATTACACTTATTATATTTATGATAAATAGAAAGACTAAAATTAAAGTTTGTTTTTATTTACAATATCTAAAATTAAATCTTAGTATGTGCTTGTGTAATCTTTTTTTTACAAACGTTTGCCAATTTTAAATCTATTTATAGTTGATTAATTAGAGGATTTGCCGATTATTGATAATAATAATAATATCATGAGATACATATATATCAAAAGAAATATATTGTAATAATGTATTTATTCTTTACGTAAAACATGTTGACGGATTATTACTTGCATCTTATCAAGAAATTTTTTTTTTTATACTTTATTTTTGACAAGTTTAGCAATCCAATCATGTTGCCACACGACAGTTAAACATGGATACGCCAATTCAATATTAAATTCTAATAGTTAATATTTACTGTTTATTTCATAAAAAAAACTTGTTAATTTTTTTTAAAAAAAACCAAGATAAAGTGATTTGCACCCATTTTATTGGTAACCTATTTATAAGTTGTTAGATATCAAAATGCTTTTTTTTAAAGTTTATTTTGCTAAATAAATAATCGATTGGCTTATTTATATGAATTAATCGAGCTTTTTCATGGGCTTGATAACTTTATTGACATCATTACCATCATATCATTCATATACATCATATCTTTTTTATCAATATTTCTTTTTTTTTTTGTACGAGATATCGAGACACATAATAATAGATTTTAAAAATCCCAAAAATAGATTTTTTTTTTTTGATAATTTATTTCGTGATTTTTAACAAGAATTTTTAAAAAAAAAAATAATGATACATATGTATGTAGACTATATATAATCAAGTTCAAACGATGGTTCCCTATTTATTTTTTTTTTGATAACGAAAATTTTTTTTTTTAATTGACGTTGCGAATTAAAACACCGTTGTACATTGAACCCCCTTTTTTTTAAAAAAAATAAAAATAAAATAAAATAAAATAAAAAGAAAATAAAAGGAAATAAAGAATAAAAAACTTTTTATTCAATATGAACTTGGACGAAGTATCAGCACTCAAACTAGTTTTTGATTTGAACAGAAACTTAGTATTTCCGCCTCCGGTCATCATTCCAATACACATATATGAAGAATTAAGACCTAAAACTAAAGTTACCATGAGAGGGTTGGTAAGATACTTTGTTTCTCGAGAAGCAAATCAAATTCAAATCACAAGCGGTCTTGTGATTAGTCGAGTTACTGATATTTTGTTGACAGATGCTAATATTCATGAAAAACTCAATTATTGCAACTTGTCATCCCGTATTAATGCTATCATTAGACGTCGAGGTCCTCGTAGATAATCATCAACCTTGAATGACATGACAATATTTTAATTTATAAGATCATCCTACGCGTTTGTTACATAAGCATATTTTTCTAGTAATTCCTCTTAGTGTTAACATAATTTGTGCAAACAACTAATATTTAATTAACCTAAAATTTTATGTAATGACCATATAACTTGTTGGTCACAACTCATAAGTATGATGGTTCATCATTAAGCTTAAATTTTATTTCATAAGTCGTGTCAAACGAATATTATGTTTTCGATAAAATTATGCATAAATCATTGATGAGATTACATTTTTTTTTGTTTTTTTGTTTATGGATTGCAAGATAAAAGGTTCTTGATTCTTTTAAATACTTTTTTTTCTTTCATCAAAGAGGACAATGTCGAATGGTGAAAACAATTTGTTATTGAATGTTTTCTTTCTTAACAATGCATGCATTGTTGATGATCTTCACACTATTATGTTTCAGATTTAAAGTTGCATGCATTATGACATTAAGGATTGAAAAAATCTCCCCTATTTTTTTTTAAAAAATAACATGTATTATTTTCGATGTGGTGGTTGGTGTCTTTTTAAGTTTCTACAAATGATTTCTCAATTTCTAATTAAGTTTCGATATTTAATTAATTATTTGAAAAAAAAAGATCAGAATTTTCAATTCATATAATCTCCCCGTTCATGTAGTTGGTGTAACTTCATACTCGATATTAGAACAATACATGTACATAATATGTCTGATAATTAAAAGAAAATAAACATTATTATAAATTTATTCAAATGTCTCTGAACAATAAAAAAACAATCCAAATATTGTCTTTGACATAAAAATGACAATATTATGATTTTATCTTCTGTTTCCTTACAAATCGTTTAATTAGAACATGGATAAGATAATTTGTCTCTTGGATGGTAATGATGAGCATAGCGGATGCATAGTCCATGCAGTAGTGCATTTACAAGTTAAATCTCTGAACTGATAATATTTAGCTAATCAGTTTCCACCATTCATTGCATTGAAACAAATATCAACTTAACAAAATGTCACGACTTCAACACGGGAAATTTGCTTATTTATTGTCCGGAACGAAGTGTATATTACTACTAGACATGTTAATGATCGATATCTCAATATTTGAGTCGATACGTGATTGGTTTCTTTCGTTACACTTGTGTTCCGGACTAACTAACAACGGTTTCCGAAACCAAACTCAAAATAGTTAGCAATTATTTATCAAATACTATATATATTTTTTTTATAATATTAGAGGAATCTGATGTTTGAATTTTATTAGTTTTTTTTTTTAAAAAAAGAAAAAAGAAAATATTAATACTTATTTATTATATATAAAAAAGCTTTATAAATTATATTAAAAATAAGTTTTAATAAAATTATCTTTATAAATAAATCTATAATTACCATATAAAAATTATTACTATACTTTTTAAAATTATAAAATTTTTTATATTATTAAAGATTTTAAATATGTATGAAACATGAAGATTATTAATTTTAATATATATAGTAAATTCTATAATCTTTTTTTTATTTTTTTTATATAATCATATCATATAAATTCTCTATTATAAATATATCTTTTATAAAAACTAGTACTTATTAATAAATTTTATTTGATTCTAAAAATGTGATTGTAAAGAAAATCATATTAAAAATATTATTAATAAAAAAAATATATAGCAATTATAGTAAGGCATAAATGGAAGTTCTGAAATAAAATTTCTAAATAGTACACAGAAAGTTTTTTGATTCACCTGTGAATCAATTCTAGCTATATGAATTTACTATTGAATTTAAGTTTTCTATCTGATTTGGCTCAAATCTAGCTATCAAAAGATTTAATATTGAATTTAGTTTAAAATTAAGCCTTCAGATGCCAAGAATTACACTATTTGATATAGCTATTCTAGCCTGATTTTAATCACAAATAGTATGTGTGGTGTGTTATTAAAATTAAGGTACAGATTATATGATTTATTATATTATGTACCTCAATTTTAATAGCATATTATTATTCATATATCAAAAAAATTATATTATACTGTTTGCCTTTAAAAGTAAACAAAAATATTAAGAAATGAAGTAATAAAATAGTTGAGTCTATGACTCTTGCAAACCTAATATGTATAGTAATTCATTATATAATACTGCTTACCTTTAGAAATAGATGAAAATATTGAGAAATAAAATAATAAAATATTTGAATCTATAACCCTTACAGCATACTATATTTTTATGATATCCTAGAATTAATTTTAAAGCTAATTTTTATTTGATTTCATATGCTAAATCTAACCTTGAAAAGATTAGGCTTAACTGTTATCTAGTTTGCAAATCAAAAGTTTAATGATTAAATTCTTATATATTAATATATAAGAAACCAGTTCAGAACTATTTCCTTTTTACAAAACTTAGAACAAAAAACTTGTATTGCTGATAAATCTAACCTTTAAGTCTAACCATAAAAGATAGCAAATTTGTAAATCAAAAAATTATTAAGCAAATTCTAGTAAATTATTAATATATAGAAAATAATCTTAGAGTCATTTCTTTTATATAAACATAAAATAGAAATAATATTATATTTAAAGTATATATTAGATGTAAAAATTATGCTTTCAATAGCATACTAAATAATTTTTGTAATAGGATAAACAAACAGAATAAGTTATTTCCTATAGATCAATAAATTAAGAGAGCTATAGGTATAAGGAAGGATTATTGATTAAGGTAGTACTAAAGATGGACACCATAATTAAGAAGTTGCAACTCAGTAAGTTGCAACTTGGTTGCAACTCCTTGTAAATTTATTTTATTATAAAAATTCATAAAATGTTGCAACTCAAAGTATTGCAACTTAAGTTGTAACTAGTTAAAAATTTTAAAAATAATTATAGGAACCATCTTTAGGTAGTACTGTACTTATAGAGAAAAACCTTATCTAAAGCCTATTAATATATTAAATCATATAATAGCATATAATATGTAGGTGATAATGACTATAAGATGATCCAGTAGGCTTATTATATTCAAAACAAGGTTAGCATTTTTTAGCTTTATAGTATAATTGATAACTTTCAGATTGAATGCAAGTTTTACCATGAGTTTTATCAGAATATGAAGATAATCACAAATGAAATCTGCTTTCATTTTTTCTAAATATATAAAATAATTTAATAGTAATACATATACTTTTACCATGAGTATATAAATTCAATTAGCTGAAGTAAAGCCCACCTCTCAGAAAGTTGGAAAGGTATTAATAAATATAGTCAAAGCAAAAATTTATTATAAAAGATCTAAGAATAGTAAATTCATGCAAAACCAAAAAAAAGGTAAAAAATTGCACTTTAAAAGAAATAAAAAAATTGTTTTCAACTAAGAATAAATATCATCAAATTATGAATGATTACAAATCATATTATGGAAAAAATTCAAGAATTCTTAATACTATAATAGATTTATATAAGTTATATCATAAATCAGCTAAAGATTATTTTATTACAGAAGAACAAGTTGATGAAAAATCAGAAGACTTCCTATTATCCTTTTAAAGCTATGCTTTTACAAGAAATAATTAAATCCTTTTTTCTTATATTCATTTGAAAAAGAAAAACTAATAAGTTAAAAGAATAAGCAAATAGGTAGACCATCTTATGCAGATCATTAGATTAATGGAATAGTATCCATTAGAAAGGTAACTCAAAATTAGTAGGAATAACTTAAAGCTCCAGTAGAATATCATATGTAATATAATTATATCACATGTAATATTCCACTTATCCTAGATTATTGTATTACGTGATCTGAATAACGCATGTGATCTGAGTAATCCATATAATCTAAATATCACATATTATCTAAAATATATAATCTGAATACTACATATAATCTATAACCTATAATTTAAATACTGCATATAATCTATTCATTTTCCTATATTATATATTTTTTCTTTTCATTCTAGCTTATATCTTTAGCTATTCATGTTTTTTATGTTGATATGAATTTATTATTACAATATAATCTCATTATCACATATACATATGATCTAAATACCATGTTTTTCTTCTTGTTTCTGAGTCATTATACTTCAAATTCTATATTAGGAGTTACTAACCTTCTGTAATTATTTGGATATCTGGTTTTATATTGAGGGTGCTGGCCTTTTGTAGCTGTTTAGATTTCTTGTTTTATATTAATAGTGCTGATCTTCTACATCTAGTTGAATGCCAAATTCTATATTGAGGTGCTTATCCTTTATGTTTGCTTGATTGCCTGTTTAAATACCAAATTGTGATAAAAAATTTGGCTAAAATTATGAAATAATGTTAGTTGAAATTTGCTTTAATTTTATTATGCCTTCTGACTTTATTTGAATATAAGATAAATCAAGAAAAAAATACTGTTTAGTCACTTTTGAGCATTCTAGTAACTATTTATAGTTGTCAGTTATCAAATGTAATACCATATATTTTGTTTATAATTTTAGATCAGTCTAATTTATATTGACATTTTCTATTATCACCACTTATTTGTATAAGTTTATTGATAATATTTATTTGTGAGAATTTTTTACCAAGAATATTATTACTTAATGCTTGCTCATTATTTTATCACATTAAGTAAGATAATCCTGATATAAAAGTAATACAATATATTTGTTTGCAAAGAATGTTCTCAGACTATGTTAAAATATAATCTATTATGAATCGATCAGTATTAGAATAAATCATCTTACTAAAGCTTATTATCACATTCTACTTTCCAATCTCTTAACAGCTAATTACATTTTTAAGCCTAATATTTTTATCTCTAAGCTTATTAACTTATTTTCTTAATAAATTAATCTTTAATTGCATATTTAAAAAATTGTAAGTAAATATAAGTTCAAATTGCAAATAAGTATTTTACTGTCTCAAAAAATAGTATTTAGAATCAATTGATATTTTATACATTTTAGGATAATTATTTTTTGCATATTTTCAATACT